CATCAGAGTTTGGAGGTGCCTCAGAGGGATCTGGAAAGGTCTGTGGGTGCTCTCAGGCCGGGGGGGCCGCGGGGCTCTGGGGCAGCGGGAGGGATGGACAGAAGCAGAGGACTGTGCCGATAGGCCAGAGCCCATTTTCTGTGGTTGGGTTAAGAGATGCATGCACCGTGCATGCACCCAGGGTATGAGGATGGCTCCAAGCGGGGCTGCAATTGGGAAGGGGTCCCTGGTCCCTGCCAGGTTGGACCTCTTGGAGCCCAGGGATTTGCCCTGGACTGAGACACAGTAAACTCTGCCACCTGCCCCCTCCCACGCGGGCAGTCATGATTCTCAACACACTTCCTCTCAGGGACGGGGAAGGGGGCTCTTGTGACCCCTTCACCTGCACTTTGACAAGACAGAAACCTTAATTCTTTCAAGGTCGTGCAGCCAGTGAGAGGCAGGGTGGACGGGTGGAGGGGGGTAGGGGGGTGGGAGGGGAGCGCCCTCTGAGCTTTCTCCAGAGGGGGCATCACCCCATGCACCCACAGCACCTGCAGCCCCCATGCACAGAGGCACCCTTATGTCCAGAATTAGGCCTCTATCTGCTTGCTTCACCTAACTCTACACAAACGATAGAGTGTATCAGAATCACCTGCAGGACTTGGCAAAACTCACCTGTGGAACTCAAGCCTGTCCCAGAGCCTCTCATTCAGCAGGTCGGGGGCCAGGCCCAGCATCTGCATCTAACAAATTTCCTGGTGAAGCTGAGTCTGCTGTCTGAACCAGGCTTTGAAAAGCATGTTTCTGGGCCAGCGGGGTCTCAACCTCAGCTGCCATCACCTGAAGTACCTTTAAAAGTGGCAATGCCAGTGCTCTCAGACAGACAGACACACGCACGCACGCACACACCAGCAAGGCAGTCAGAACTTGGTGGGCGAGGTGTTGTTTAAAGCTCCCCAGGCACAGGCTGCTGAGACCCTGAGCTGGGAAGTGATACTCTGGAAGGGCAATGATAAGGCACCCACTATTCTAGATCCTCAACTGCCCAGGTGGAGAGTCTCAGGTCCCATACAGTAAAAGGCCCTCAGCAGTTAGAATTTAAAATAAAAGTAGCAGACTCAAAGCCACATGCCCTCCAGATGTGCCCATTCGCAGGTCTGCTGGGGGCCCAGAGGGTGGTGTGATACTGTGATATCATAAGAAATATATATTTGGTCGTCATCTGTTCAAGGCACAGAGCTCCTAAAACCCTTGGAATTTCCCAAGTAATGAGTGATACAGGAGTGTCTTTGTTATCCGTAACAAGCATATCTGAGTTTCAAGCATCTCTGAGTTTGTTCGTGTGGTGACCTTTGGAAAGCAGCTGTGGACGGCGTCTGGTTGCCTGGGGAACTTTCAGTCCCCTCTGCGTGCCCTGCCTTCAGGGAGGGGAGAGGGGCTGGAGTGATTTGATCAACCGTGCCTCCGCCTGTATAATGGAACTTCCATAGAAACCCAGAAGCACGGTGTTCAGGGAGCTTCCAGCTGGGAGGACAGCGGGCTCAGAGGGCTCGGGGACCCCGTGCCCCTTCCCCATCCCCCGCCCCGTGCCCCTTCCCCATCCCCTGCCCTGTGCGCCTCTTCATCTGGCTGTTCATTTATTACAAAAATAAACTGGCAATCTAGTGAGTAAACTGTTTTCCAGTTCTGTGAACCCCTCTTGCAAATGAACCGAATCTCTGATCTATAGCTGGTCCGTCAGAAGCACAGATGACAACCTGGGATGGGCAAGGGACAGGGGTGGTCTTGTGGGACTGAGCCCTTAATCTGTGAGATCTCCAGGCAGATGGTGTCAGAATGGAGTTAAATCTGTGGGAGTCTGGCCAGTGTCCTCAGAGAACTGAGTTAACTGCTTGGTTGTGTGGGAAAAACACACATACCAGAGATGGCCCACCGTCCAGATTTGCCCAGACTTCAGGGTTTCCTGGGCTAAGGGACTTTGAGGGTTAAAACCACAACATCCCTTGGGAATTCCCTGGTGGTCCGGTGGTTGGGACTCCGCGCTTCCACGGGCTCATCCCTGGTTGGGGAACTAAGATCCTGCAAGCCACAGGCGTGCCCCTCCCCACCCACAAAAGATGGGACACTCCAGGCCACCCCGGATAGCTGGTCATTGGGGCCTGGCTGTACACGGTGCTCCCACGTCATTCCCATACCACAGCCCGCCACCCCCCACCCCCCAGTCTGGCGTGTGCCACCTGCCGCAGGTCACAACCTGCCCATGTGGGAGCTCAGGGTTGTTCACAGCACAAACCCCCCTGGGGGGCTGAAGGGCTGGGGGAGGGGGAGGGCCCAGCTGACCCGGGGCCTTAGCAGCGTCCAGGTTCCCACACAGGTGTTGTGGGCGCTGGGATGGATCTGGCTAAGGAGGAGACACTGCCGAAGCACAGGATGGTGCACGATGGAGGTTGCATTAAAAAAGGGTAAAACAAACCCACAAAATGGGTTTTGTTTTATCCTGTTGAAATGCACCCACAGTCTAGAAACAAACTCCCATCGGGTGACGGGCCCATGATGAGTGACATAGGATTGTGACCCTAATTGAGTGTCTAAGCCTGTGTTTAAAACAGAAGGTGAGGGCTTCCCTGGTGGTGCAGTGGTTGCGCGTCCGCCTGCTGATGCAGGGGACGCGGGTTCGTGCCCCAGTCCGGGAGGATCCCACGGGCCGCGGAGCGGCTGGGCCCGTGAGCCATGGCCGCTGAGCCTGCACGTCCGGAGAGGCCGCGACAGTGAGAGGCCCGCGTACCGCAAAAAAAAACCCCCAAAACAGAAGGTGAATGAGGACACCGCCGAAGCTGGAGGGTGCGGCTCAGGATGTTTTTTCTGGTCCACGGGCTTGTGCTGCCAGAGGAGGAAGGGCACTCGCCTAGCTGGAGCTTTGGGGACCAAAAGGGGCATCAGGAGGGAATTGCACCCCAGCTGTGACAGAGGGAATATGGTCATTAAGTGTCTGTGGACGCGGATGCACAGGAAGGGCTTGGGGACTGCACGCAGGGGCCCCCAGAGGAAGGAGCCGTTTGGGGGAGGGTACGAGACTCCCTTGGACGCGCCTGTGCGACATGGCAGGTGGCGGGGGTGGGGGGGGGGCGGGGGGCTGCAAGGGCTTGGGGCCGGAGGGGGGGCC